TACATGTTGGTGCATGGGTTTTCCAGCACACGTCCAACATCCGGGTCTCCATGTTTGGGGGCCCCCCCATGGGCCCCGGGTTTTCCCAGTAAAACTCCTGTGGTTGAATCCCCATAACCGAAACTTTGCTCGCTGGAGTGAGTCTTCTTGCCACCTCAGCAAGTGTGTCCCCCATTTCTCTGTTGCTCTCTTCATATTCCCCTCTTGGCCTCCCGCAGTTTGTGGTGGTTATACACACGCAATGACCCCCTTTGTGTTCCCGACGAAGTGTACCTGCTTGTAGTCTCTTTCTCCCGTTTTTATCTTTCCCTTCCTTTTTTTCGAATTTCCATTGTTTTTTTCGAGCAGGCAACCCCCCCTCCCCCCCGCCCCCTTTTATCTTTCCCCATAATTGGTATCCGGTGGGAAAAATTGCATCTGTTATTGTTCATGAGTTTTGTTTTTGTAACTGCTATGTGTCTGGGGGCTTCTTGTTCTTTCTTGCCATTCCTCATGTTTATTCGTTAATCCCTCGCATTTGTGTACCAAAAATTCAAATTCTGTTCTAAAAACTGTAACTGTGGTGCGGGGGGTGGAAAAAAGAGGGATCTGTGTGTGATGGGTGGTTTGGTTGTTCGTTGCCCCTTGGGGTGTCGTGGCTGGAGTCCCTTTTGCGGTGTTTTGGGGGGGGGCACTTGTCCTTCCCTTTGACCTGGGTTATTCTGCTTCCTTTTTTTTTCCTCCCCTTTCTCCTTACGTTTTTGAACTTCTCTTTCATTGTCTTCCTTTTGCCTGTGTTTTCTCGGTGAGGCACACACTCCCGGGAAATCCTGCTTGCCTCTCAGCCCTGCTTTCCCTGCAGGTCGGTTCGGGTGATTCTGCCCTTTAAAAATTTCTTTGAGAGGCGTTCTTTTCTTTGTGAACCCCCCAATTCTCCGAAAATTTGCCCTGGGTCATTTTCCCCCCCCTATCACTTTCATGATGCTTTTAATCGCTTTTTTTTCCCCCTGCTTTCTTTATCATAAATTTCCCCCTTTTGCTTGTCTAGCCCTTTGCAAAACCCGGGTCTCTCCCTTTCCCCCTCCCACTGTGATCCCTTGATCCTTGTGTGTTTTAGTTCCCTTCCCCTGGGTGGTTTCCCTTCCTTCAGTCCTTCCTCGTTATGGGGCCCTAGCTTCTTTTTTTATCCTTCCCGCTCACCTGCTCCGGCCCCCACAGGTATCGGTAAGGTCCTTGCACTGCCTAGTTCCTTCAAAGTCTTCCAAAACCTCTCTTTCTGTCCCCAGAGGCTCCCTGTCTTTTGTTTTGGCCCCCTGTGGGGTTTTACAGGACCCCTTGCATACAGTTTAGTTTCCATGCTTCCTTGGGACTGTTTTTTGTTCGATGTTTTCCATTGCCCATGATTCTGTAAAATCTTTGTCTCTGTGTGTTTTCAGATGTCTCGTCCTCTTCTAATCTTCTATCTTGATTTTGTTTTGTGGCCTGTTGCTTCCCCCTTTTGCATTCTGTGCTAACCCTCTTCCATCTTTCCTTTCAGCTATCTAGTCTCCTTTCCCAGTCTTCCTCCCTTTTTTTTGAGTCTATCTCCCCCTTCCCCCTTCAGTTCGTCCCTTTGGAAAACCCCCTTTTCCCCATCCTGGTTAGGGGGGGGGGATAGAGGTTAGGAGAGGGGGAGGTGGTTTGTGGGGGAGGGGGGGGGGTGGTTATTGGAGGGTAGAGTTGGGGGAGGGGTTAGAGGGGTTTGGGGGAGAGGGGGATGGGGTTATGGAGGAAAGGGGGGGGGGGTTTATTGGGGGGAGGGAGTTTGTTTTTCCGGGGGGTTTGGGTTTTTAAAGGGGTTATTTTGGGGGGTAGTTGGTAAGGTTTTGGGTGGGGTTAGGGAAGGGGGGGTACGTGGGTGTCAGTGGTTCAAGGGTGGAGGGTGTTGTGGTGTGTGTGTGTGTGTGTGTGTGTGTGTGTTGTGTTTGTGTGGGGGTGTATGTGGTGTGTGTTTGTGTGGCGTTGTGTGTGTTGGTGTTGTGTTTTGTGGTGTGGTGGTGTGTGGTGTGCATGTATGTGTGTGTGTGGTGTGTGTGTGTGTGTGTGTGTGGTGTATGTGTGTGTGTGATGTGTGTGTGTGTGTTGG